GGGGAGGGGGGTGGGTGGGGTAATAGATTAAGAGGCAACCGATTTGTTGTGTTCAGTTTGTGTGTGTGTGTGTGATCTAAACTTAGTGATTTAGAAGTTGGTTGCACAACCTCAATCTGAATATTGAACACTGAACCCGGGAAGAGGGGGGAGGGTCTCGTATAACACGACATCTTTCTCTACTCTAGGTATCCTAGGTCGTGTAAGGAACGGGCATTTTCTGTATGCTGGTAATTGATTGTAGTCATTGGCCCTGAACGACCCCAAGTTGAAAAGACTCTTGGTACCTTATGCGATGTCGTAAGCTTTATCAGGTCATCGGCTACATCGACTCGCATTCATGTTCACTTTCTACTGTTGGACGCAGGTAGGCACAATATAGAACAAGCAAGGGCAGATTGCCACTGTAATTTAATTTGACCGATTAATTTTTCTTTGATTTTTGGATAACAGCGTGCCGCAAAGCATCTGCTGATGTGGGGGGTATCTCAACAGTAAAAAAAAAAAGACCTCTTCCGTCTGCCCATCCGCTCTTCAGGCCATCCGACCCTTGATACAAGAAAAGAGGAAAGAAGAACAAAAAACCACCGACTGACTACTTGATTGTAGGTAGTGCGGGGCGTGAATAACGTATTTCTATCCATCCGCCATGCCCAACCCAATTTTCGGTTCCTTCTGTCTGCTTTTGATTACGCTATAAGATAGTTGCAGTCCCTTTATTTTGATAGGACAAGATGAGTGTGGTGATTTCACCAAGCTCAGGATTGATGCTGTACGCTGTTCTGATCTGATGTACTATGTAAGCGTCATGTGTGTTTGAGGAGGGCATCGTCATCAGGAAAACTTACCATATGTGATTATGACCAGTTCGACACGCCCCCGCTAGCCTTCGGCTTTCGGGTTATTATCATCTTCGTAGGTGAGAGATAGTTGGTATTTTGTTCCACCTGTTCAAGAGCACAAGAGGCTTGTGACAGGGATCCTGGCATGGTTTTTCTCGTCTCGTTGGATCAAGGCAATAGGCGAGCTAGGTGCCGTGGGAAGGTACTCGGTGGCAGAAGGGAAGTATCCCATTGATGATTGCTGAGGGAAAGGAAGACTGGGACGACGGTAGGCCGCAGGTGCTGCGAATGCTGCTAGCTGTCGGCGATCAAACTCATCCAAGTCTCCGATGGATGAGGTAGTAGGAGAGGGCAAGGTGCTGAATGGGGCAAGTCGCCTTGATGTGGGTGGTGTCAAGAGCCGCAGAGTGTTTCCATTTGGGCAATCGCTTCCATCTTGATATCCATCGGTAGTGGGGAAGGCATGTGATGGAGGGAAAAAAGATGTGAAGGGTGTAGTGCATCGAGCCTGTTGCTGTTGCTGTTGCTGCTGCTGTGGCCTAGAAGGGAACCACTCGATGGACTCATGGACGCGGTGATGAAGGCTGTCGTTGAAGCTACTGGGACTGGATGGCCTCCTAGATCCCGTGTAGATGTCCTGAGGGTATCTGATGGGGCGCTGCATGTGCGCTCTCGGCGGTTGACCGGGGCTGCTTCTTAGAACATCGGAGGCAGAAACGCGTCTTGGTGCACTCTGTCTCCTAAGCTGGTTCTTTTTGCGGTTGTTGAGGCCGTTCCAATAGTTCTTGACTGCGTTGTCGCTGCGGCCCTGGAGCTTCCTGGCAATGTCTGCCCAGCGAGGCCCCTTCAGATCTACCTCTCTAACGATGATAGCGGCCTCTTCCTGTGTCATAGGTCCGTGGTTCAGCCCTGGCTTCAGGTTTTGGTGCCATCGCTCTCGGCACTGCTTGGGGGTTCTGGTTCCGAGAATGCGGGCGACGTTGACCCAGTTTCCCGGTCCTAGGTCCTTGACCAACTTGATGAGTCGCTGATCCTCCCCTGCTGACCAGGGACCTCTCCGTTGGTCGGGCATGTTAGACATGATGATCGAAAATGTCGATAAGGTGGACGACGGTTTTGGTCTTGGTTGCGTTGAAGACTAATGATGTTATCCTTCAATGGAGCTTTGTTGATGTCGAGTCGGCGTGGGTGTCGATGATTGTAATAGATGTTTGATGGTAGAGATGGGCGGTTGAAGGTGGTACGGGAATGCAGGTTGGGGATGGGGAGGAAGATAAAGTAGTTGAAAGGGAACGAGGTTTATAAGATGACTGGCCGATCTGAAGGTGTGTGGGATGATGTTCTCAGACGGTCTAATGCCACCGACGGACGCTAGTAGATGACGGGATGCGAGGAAGAAGAAAGTAAGGCGCAGGCCCGAAATGTCATGTATGTACTAGCTTGCTGGATATCGGCTAGCCTAGTATTTCACTTGCAGGTACCCAAGTGCAAGTCCATGACTGGAGCTCCCCCCGTTTGGAAGAACGGATTTCCACTTCTGGTACGCGTCTCAGCCAGGGGTCGATTGGTGTACATAGTACGAGGTGGGATTCCGCATACCAGGCAGTCCACTTCTCAGCCCCTTACAAATTGTTTATCGTGTCTAGTATTTGTATAGCCCAGCTCGTAGCGTACTACACAGTATGTACAGCTAGCCGATGGCTCGCATGAACAAGCTACTTCCTAGAAAGAAGGATACCGTGAATGCCTCATCTGAGCCTGGCGAGGTACCAAGTATACTTGCACTGGGCGTTCCTTGTCCCTATGTATCTACTTCCGGTCGACAAGACTGTGTAGATACCTTGCTGGCTGTGTCGAAACGACAGGTGCCATTTAAAAAAATGCCAGTGGCTTCCTTAACCTAATTCGATGTCTGAGTCCAAGGACCGCCCCTTGTCTGATATGTTACTGTAAGCTAATGCAACCTGAAGGCACTGGGATAACCCACCTTTAGCGCAGTCGGTACCGGTTACGGAAAGCGAGCAAAGACCAAAACGGTCAGACTATGACGTCTATCGGTAGCCTGTAATGAAAACGGTGAGTGCGCTCAGGCAGGGGCGGAAGGATTCTAGCCCAGTTTTGCTTGACAGCATACGCCTGGCGCCGGTAGCTTTGTACAAGGGAATTAATGCCATGCCAATGGAACTGATATCCGTGCGTCGAGGAGGTTTTTGAAGGCACGTATTCGAGCTGCCCCTGGATTGAGGTGAGGTGGCATATGTCGAAAGGAAAGAAAATCGACAGACAGAGCCTCCAACTCATCTCACTTACTCCCTCTACTTGATTGAAAATTTGTCGAAGCGACCAGGAAGTGGTGAGTTACCTAGCCAAGAGGTAAGAGCCCAGGCACCTAAGAAACCTCAGTGTCCAAATCCGGAGCCCGTGCATTTTGTTGAATTGTTAGTGTTGCATGAGTCTGATTGGCTGGACGGTCAAGTCGTCCAGACCGGGCAGCCAGTTGTCCCTCGTTGGCAGCCAACCGGATCACTGTGGTCTTTCCAAGCCTTCTATTCACAGCGCCCTTTCCGGTCGCGGCCACGATGAATCCCAAGACAAGCCACGCCATTTCCCTGGATCGACGAACCTACGCGCAAGATTAATTCTACCCTTTCCCGTCTATTCGATCAATGAATCCGCAGTAAAGTGACAAGCCAGTGCCAATCTACGTTCAACAATTTGCGTGTGCCTAGGTATGTGTCTGCTGCGAGGAGGTAGGTAGCACTTGGTCGTATCCTGATGTCCGAGCCCTTAACTCGCTCAATCCAATAAGATTGGCAACACATCCGTCCAGCACAAACCCTGACGATGGCGTTCCCGGGAACTGCCAAAGCCGAAGCTTGTGTGCTGCCTGGAACCTCGAGTGACGACCAGACGCTGTGCGATTGTCCAGTCCTAACTCAGCGATCGCAGAAAACCCAGTTCAGGACTGGGAAACCAAAGGAACCCTTACCTACCTACGGTGTCGATACCTCAGCAGGAACACAACAGCAAGAATAGCAGGGAAGGCAGGATCGCCAAAACCAACCCGATCGAGGCGTTCACTGAACTCGGGAGCGCTCACCTTAAAATCTTGAACTCGGCCCCATCCACACCGATCCGCTCCGCGTCCGTGATCCGTCCAGTCCATCGCCCACCTAAACTGTCGGTTGCACCTAATATGCCAACAGTGCGGTATCTACCTAACTATACAGCGCTATCGTATATACTGCATAGTATTGGGTCGCCCGGGTGAGTATTCTCGTCAGCCATGTATCTGCTCTCACACATTGGCTGTCCCCCCCTTGGGCGAATATTTGTTGATGTGGTGAGATGGGTAAAACCCGTGGGCCAGGGCGCTGACGATCGCTGATCACACAGTGCTACATATATACAAAGCCACGAAGTTTTGCCTGTGGTGGCTCGTGCTCGGTACCTGACAAGGGGTTCTTTCGGCTCGCAACCACAGTACGGTATAAAGGGCCGGGATTTGCTGCCGCGGATTATCTTGCATGTTCTCTTCCAAACACGCCCAAGGACGGATATGCTTGACGCCGTGATTCCCTCTGCTAATAGTCAAGTTAACCCTTTCTCCTTGGCCGAGACCGAACTGGCGGTGGACAGCTCGGTCCAACTCCAAGAGAGGGGGGAAAAAGGAAAGAAAACAGATGGCAGGGTGAACGCTGACAGGCCAAGCACTCGAGTGAATTGGGTAACATGAAGGGAATCGGTAACCCATCGTACCGACCTTGACACTATAGTCGTGTGCCCTATCAGGTAATACAAACAATTTGGGCAGGTTATTTCCCTTGCACCAAGTAGGCCTTGACACTTAGCGTACCGGTGTTTGGCTTCTTTACCATCCAGCCCTAGTTTGTTTGTTCGTTGGTAAGAAAAAGGCCACATCTGACTAGACTCAAAAGAACCAAACCAACAAACATACCAGTATTGTAATGTAGACTACAGGTCTCCCACGCCCGGGTCTGAGTGTGTTGCGAGTTCCGTGCCTCGGCTTGAGAGGGAGATTCCGCTGTTTTCCCGTCCGCTTGTTGCTAAATGTGGACAGGATTGATTAGCTCCAGGGTTGTGTGAGCAGTGGCTTTAAAAGGTCATCAGCGTGACGGGATCTTAGCGATCCAGTAACTTGGGTTCCCGACCGGTTAAATGCATCGGAGCAGGGGTTCGGAGGACACAACGGCGTGTCCATCTCACCAAGCTCAACGGTTGACGCACAGTATGTGGGCAGTGTCTCAGTCAGTGAGCCAGAGATCGTAACGCTTGGATGCATACTGTACCGACAGAAATCGGACAAAAAAGGGACGAACAAGCGAACAGATTTACATGGTGATTGGGAGCGATGTCCGGACGGAGCACCCCGAACCCGCGCCGTAGTGTAAAGATGATACAGTCCCAGGCCCGTATAACGAAGCCCGCGCCGGAGGAGACATGTCTGCGGTCCTCGACATGGCTATATCTCCGGTGCGTGGCTTCCAACTTGAGACATGAGAATCCTATGTACTGTGGTTATCCCAATGCCGTACACTGCATTTTCAGGGCAAGTTTAGCCCTTTACTAAGCGGGATAAGCAGCAACCCATCCCCACCATCTTCAACGGCCCTATATTGCACACTACACATAAGATCAATTGTACTCCCGCTCACATTATAGTAGCTGAAACGCAACAAACACCCCGCGGCGCGCTGAACGTTGACCAAATTTGTAGCCACCCACTGAAGCAATCACGGCTGCCTTGAGCTCCCGAGTCAAGCTTCCTCTTCGATTCGTTCAACGTGATGGAAGTTGCTGTGCCCTTACCCCGCAGTGGTCCCGACTCGTCGGGAAGGGGCCGGTCAATATGGAATTTACCTCCCCTATAATATCGACTATCTCTCTATCTCACTCATAACTTCCACTTAGTACCACCTCTACATACCATGGCATATGGGGCAAGTCGTCCCTTCCTTGTTTACGAAGTACATCACTGTAGTCACTCTAACTGCAGCCAGTGAAACCGGTGTAATCTGGCAAACCACTTCGTATTTAGTTCTAGCAGTAAGTACTTACCACGTTATAACCCAGCTCCAGTTACTCCTTCCCAGTCGAATGGTAGCCTGAGGACTCGGGTCAGGTCGCTCTAGTGTAGTAGACTGGGACCAGACCGGCCCGGCGATGATGGACACGGGGCACACTGAGGATACTGTACCTACATAGTAGTAGAACGGGGCAGGGCACAGTCTGACGGGCATTCCAAGTCCGTCGTCGATACAGTGAACAAAAATGACTTGCAGCCGCATTGCAACAATGGTTTGCGTCTCGTCTACAGCCCCACTGTTAATACAGATCATCATCCCGCCATCCGTCAGCTCCAGGTCTGCTTGGGAGAAGTGGTTGGACTTCAAGAACTTCGTTCCGTCTCCAATTTCACCTGCCCGCGATCACCTTGTCGTCATGCCCTGCAATATATCCACGATGACCCCGGTACAGATGCAACCTGCAGATAACGACGGTACACACTACAGTGTAGAGAGAGCAAACGCATACAAACAACACTAGTTTCGATCCAAGGCCGCCAAGATGGCGGAACAACGATGGAATGATTCCGTGTCGACGAAAGCACCCAGTTCTTGGCTGCAACTTGCACCGAATACCGGATGGTCGCGATCCTGCTGAGCTTTCGTACAACTACCACACCTGGGCATGCTGGACTGAATCGGCCAGGCCAGCGAATAATCGCTCCACACGTCTCCATCCAAGCCATGAGATGCCGAGGAGCGAGCGGGTGCTTAGACGTGCTTAGGTGCGTCCCCAACATGTCGCTAACATCCTGACGGACGGAGCGTTGGAGTGTTCATACGTGTTAGTCGCAGCTCCAGCGCTCGGCATGCTTGAAAACTGGGGATTGCGCGAGACGAGAACCGGGCAAAAAGGTCACCCCACTACACTACCACGGGTCAATTCCCGGACGGACTTGGGCACGGCACCACTACACGTGCACTGACCGTCTTTCGAACGAGGCTATTCTACTATAGTCTTCCCACTCCAGTCGAAGGCTCGCAACAGTCGCCGAGTCGCCGGTGCCATTACGCTGCTCTATAGCCACGGGCTTCCCCCTCCTCGGAACCCGAAGCTACCAGTAGTCCGGGAAAACGGTCCAAACGGAACCAAATCAGCCACACTGACAAAACTGGTACAGATACGGCTGCGTGCCAGCAGCTCGGGCACCACCCTCCCTCATACCATGTGGCTAAAGCCCGACTCGGCGACCTGAGACCCAAGAAGGGGAGCGATCCGTCCGCCAAACTCTTTAGCGTTGACGCAAAAAACCGTTGTCACACAGCTTCGGGTCAAGAGGCGTCCAATTATGGCAGGAAGATCTTCCAGGTGGCGTTCCTTGACTGTTGCCGTAGCCCCCTTGTCAAAATCCTTGCCCGCCCATCGATCCCTACCGTCGCGTACCGTCCAACCCGCCCTGCCCCTCTAAACCTTGCCTGGCGATTTCTAGCGAGCGTCCAGCTGAAGCTTTGGCGCCCTCGTGCCCAAATAGGAAGATCTTCATCACCCTTGTCGCTTGGGCACGTTACTTCAGCCATTATCATCCTAGTACGGTGTCAACTGGCCATTGCATTGCGCTTCACTGGAAAAAGAGAGCAGCAAGTCATGAAGGCAAACCTTTCTCAGCAAGATGATGGGATAAACAAGTTACATCCTACATCAGATGCAATAAGCTACCAAAATACACCGAAAGCTGACGAGACATGTCGCTGTATAGGTATTGCGTATGCAGTAGGGTACCGGTGGAGATAGTTCCCTGAAACCTCAACAATAGCGTTCTGGGGGTACGCCTGCTCGTCTCCATGGGGCTTCCCCGTCATTAACTGCAACGGCTTCCCCCCAGTCGTTTTGACGGTCACCCTGGTCTTCCGCTAAACCTTCTTGACGATGAGGTTGCGAAGTGTGGGGCAGGAGCGAGATGCAAATGTAACCTTGGAATACGGCAGCACCATGCTGGAAGTATTGTACAGTATTGACCTCTGAGCGCACACTCCAGCAATTGCATATGTAGTAGTGTACTATGTACATTGTTTACATGCTAAAATTTCTCTACAGTACCTAGTGTACACTTACATCATGATTGTAGGCGCGGCCACAACTGCCTCTCTCCCACCAGAAGCCAGCACCCCTTTCCGCATACACATACATGGCGCTCCCCCGTAGTGTCTGCAAAACTATGTACATGCAGTTTCAGGGGACTGTACTGTAACCATAGGTGAGTATAACTCCCTAGTTCTCGAAACCAACAGTGGTAGTGTAGTGAGAACAAGATTGACTAACACGGAATAGTGGCTGATTATGTTTCACCCACTGTACCCCGAAAGCCTCAATCGAATGTGCGAGTCCAAGATGAGATCGAACTTCAGTTAGCTGGTGGGTGTTCAATTCCACACCGAACACAAGGTTTATCTCCATGCGATTCCCCCTACCCTATCAGCAAGATAATTTCATGAGGGACCAACCACCCTGTCAGTCTGGAGGCAGGAGCGGTCGCAAGAATATTGATATGCTTGGCTAGCGGTATGACCTTCACCAAGAAGACTCTCCGCGGACCGTTTCTGTCAGCGATTGGATGCTTGTAATGCCCAAACCCCTGTCCAGCTCAAACCCAGAGCCTCCTCGACGTGCTCTATGCAAGATGGCATGAAAGGCGTTCACACATTCATTGTGGCTGGGACTCGAGTCCCCGTTTCGAACTTGGACCGAGACACTACCCTTCTCCATAGGCCTCTTATCGACTACCTTAGCTTACGCACATCATTGGCAAGATCCGCCTCATTGCCATGCTCTTGATGGCATATCATGGATCCACTCGACTAAGGAAGCGTCAACAATCAACGCTACCTATCTCGCTCCCTTCGACTCTGCTTTTCCTTCCTACTTCAGAATAGTGGCTGTCAGACATTCAAGACAATGCCATCACGGCAGCTTCCATTTGCCTAGTTTTTCATCCGGCCTGTTGGTAAACGGGGTCTCCATCTATGCGCTGTATCCGCATCTCCGAGACACTCAATGGAATCGGCGCTTGATTAAACGCCTGGACGCAGCTAGTCAGCTGGGCTAGTAGCATTTTTTGGATGGCCAGATATTGTCCGGTCCATCCAGAAGGATCCTCTGCACGGCGAAGGAAGTCCTGCCATCAGTACGACCTAACATATATCAGGGGAGAAGATGCGATGCTACTGTCTTCTTAACGTGTGGGCTGGCCCACTTGAAGGGCGAAGATCAAGCTTGGTGGAAGCCTTTGGCAGTTGCTGGCACTGTCGACATGATAACCGATGAGAGAGTCGGTGCCAGAATACGGAAAACTCCGTATATGGTCGAACAGATACAGAGACACCAGGCACTTACTTCTGTGGCTTACGTTGTACGTCTTGCAGATCAACAATCTAATTGCAGTTCCAGGGCTGATATTGAACCAGAGGGATGTAGGTAGGTCGGCGACCTGATCAAAAGTCTTGCTGCAACATGCCCAGAAAGGCATCAAGTCAGCGCGTGGCCTGCATCAAGGTCATCTCGAATCCCATTTATTTTTTGCGGCCCCCGACCCCCGCCCGGCCAAGCACAGCTCATGCAGCAACCTTTCTTCTTCATTCCCTGGTCCCCGGCCGGAGTCCAGATCTTTGACCCTTCTCATTGTGAGAGCCCACTGGACATTGATCTTTCTTCTATTGCCACTATCGCCGAGAGATGCCTCAAAGTGAGACATGACCAGGGTATTAATGCAAGAGATGTGTAGAGGAGGGGAAGGATATGGATGCCAACGCACTTGTCCGTTGCGACCGGACCCGGTCATACTCACTTCTTCCTGATGTGCGGCCTAGCAAACTTTTTAGAATATAGCAAGAATCCAGATGAGTATTCGATTAGGAGATGTTGATAAAGCAGGGAGCCTGGTCAACGAACGACCTTGATGTTGCTGGGCTCGGTTGGTTTCCGACTGCCGTAGTCCACTTGGACTGTGCCTTCCCGCTCACTTAACTAGGTATTGCGGTACTTACATGAAAGGTGACAACGACCGGTAGTGGATGCTTGAGACGTACCGACGGAACTGACTTTGTTCAGACGAGATGTATCAAACCGGGAGTAATGCGCCGCCAGAGGGAAGGGCGATGGTACACACAATGCGTACCAAAAACGATCTTGCTTTCATGGAAGGGCTACGAACAGGAGCCCCGATATGTTATTCTGATTTCAAAGCGGGGGTTGTGACGAGGAGCTACATGAGTCTTTGCCCAATGGATGCTTTATGGCTGAAACTCTGTAAGTCATCCACTCGACGCCATCTCAGCCATCTCTCAGTTTCTGGGTCTAGTAGTCGAAGGCTCGGAATCTGGTTAGTTAGGTAGTTGGTTCGAAAGGAAGGCAATCAAGTCCCGAAAGTGTTTATGAGCGTTTGGATTGGTCAGACCAGATCAATGAGGGAAATTGCACTTTCTGGAAAATGGATGCCATTCGTGAACAACGACAAGCAATGCATACCTAACTTCAGTAGTATTATGAAGTAAGCCCATCCCAGAAATACAGGGCTGGGTTGAATGAATAATATATGGTCATCATAATGGTGGTGGATACCGTTGATACAGGCCGTAGGCCCCACAAGAAAGAAGGGCGGCTGAGAAAATTCATGATGGAAAAGGGAGAACGGATGAAGTGCGGGAGCGACGGTTGTGTACTAGAGATTAATTAGGGTTTTGTTCTACTAGTACACCAAAGCCTGTGGTGAGCGAGACATAGGTAGAGGTAGGTAGAGAAGCATATCCGGAATGACTGGGATAAGTAGTGTGATACCCAGGAGGAGGAAAGGAGCATAAAAGCGGAAGCGGGGAGGGTGAAGGTGAGGGTCAGGGAACATTGCTGTTGGGTTTCTCTCCCACTTACCCGTTTATGTCAGCCCCAACCTAACCGTTCTGATCAAGTGGCCAGCCTCTTTGTGATGTATGTCAAGACGGCTGCATACACCTCTACCTACCTCTACCAACCAACCTTGCCTCATTTACTACGATAGGTTTGATGCTCCCATCCATCATCTCCGGAAGGCGTCACAACTCCCCCCGATCACTACTATAGAGCCGGATGGACCAGGTGGCCGTGGAGGTCACGGTATTCTTTGCCTCCTCGCCCACTGTGAGTCCCAAGGTTCCTAGAGGTAGTCTTTGCGCAGAGTGTAGGTACTTGTGTGATAATACTGTCTCTGCCATGACCACTTTGGGCTAAGTGCTTGTCTCGTATTTGCGGAGCGACTCATGCCAGTGGGCCGGAAGGAGGGAGGAGGACACTCCGACAGCATAACGGGAAGGTTGACATCTGTGGGGAGTGCGTTTGCTGACTGAGTGCTACTAGTGGACCGTACAAGTAAAAGATGAAAACTGAAGGTCCGAGTCCAGAACGCAGGCGGACGGCATACTCAATTCCTCGCCTGCTTTGGTCCACAACAAAGGGCTGTAAAGAAAAAGGCTGGATGAATCGGTTCACGCCGCGAGGTTAAGTTTTCGTTACTAGAGGTACTTCCTAGGTAGAGGTACCTAGGTAGAGGTACTCTAATTTCAGTTCAACCTTCTAGTACTGACCGAAGCAGACGGAGTTAATACAAAACCGTCTGATACGCGCGAGCTGTGTAAGTACCACTGCACTACACTACGCAACACCCGCCCTGTTAAGAGGGGTAGTAGAGCGATCAAATTTCACATAATCAAGAATGGCCGTCACTAACAGCATGTACCTGGGCAATTACGCCAGTAGTTTGATCTCGTAAATTACGGGTTCGTTCAAGTTCGTTCTTTCAGTTTCTGACCCTCGTATCAACCCATCGGAGGCAGATGCAAGACGGAAAGAGCGAGCTGAGATTGAATGCCGAGGAGCCCGAAACGAACTTGGCAAGCAGGACCTTGCGTGTGAGAGTGAATGGCGGAATGAGCTTGACGGTTGTTGGCGGTAGAGGTAGCTAAGCGCCGGCTGAGGAAGGCACAACTGTTGCGGCAGGGAAAGAACGGTTGCTCCACCTTTGATATGACCTGTGACCTCACAACGGTTTCTGAGGACGGAAAGAAAAAGCGATATAAGGCCTCACTCTTCAGTTCGTTCCGTCCGTCCCATAAAAGCTGCAGTCTCGCTGGGCTAGCGGAATGACTGAGCGTGCAGGAGCCTAGAGGTAGGCGGTGGGACGGCCTTTCCTTGGAGTTGAAAGTCGCGATGCACTCGCGGAGAACCAACTGAACTCAAAGGACTGACTGCAGTGGACTCACCGCACTATAGTACCTCTACACTTGAAGCGACGGACTACAGCAGCCGACCGATTGCTAATGTCAACCCTCCAATTCCGTTAGTTCCATGTCACTGCGGCCTTGAAAGAACTTACAAGTACTAACTTGAGTTGAACTGCCGCGGTCAACAGCTGAGTCCCTCAAAGCTCTTCAGAGTGGTCACAATGGACACACAAGGACGATAGGTATTCAGAGAATGAAACCTGAGTGTCAATAAAGGACTTGCAGTGTAGCAGGTTCGTCTTCGGAGGCCGGTGCTCCAAGTATTTGACTTTCGTTCGTTACGCTGCCGCACTGAACCCAACTGACGAGTGCCGACCAAGCATTGGCGTCGATTGAATAGGTGAGTGAAGGTGATGATGCTACGCAGTACGTGCAAGATCAGGCTACAGCGGCGGCAGCGGGTGCTATACAAGGATGGGTGAACTTGAACACAGGTTCCCAAGGCTTACAAGACACTCGGCTTTTGTTCCCTTGTTGAGTTTACTCACTTATCACCACGTACCCGTGGCAATTCGTGCGGCATGGCCCATCATTATACCAAGTCTGACTGACGCAAACTGTAAGGTTAGGACGGAACCAATACCAAACTTTAGGCCGGGCTTCAAGTTCCAAGTGCCCGTCTCTGCTGAGTGGTGAACAGTGGTGGGAACCGAACTAGATCACTCACTTACTGCACTGGTACCTCTAGCTACGATGCCCTTTTGACATCTGAGTTATGGACCTACCTTAATAGAGGTACAGTTTGGCGTGACAAGGGCTTGCTATACCGGCCGACTGGTTGGGGACGCGGCTAAAACGACTGGAGCTTGAATGGGTTGGACTTTGGCGAACTAATCACCAAGGAGATTCAGGTGGAGAAAAGAGTTGCAAGTTTAAACACTCACTGATCCCCACTCTCTGACGTTCGTTCGCCAATTCTTGACAACGAATTCTGAACACGCATATTCCGTGGCATCGTCCGCTTTTCCTAACCGGTTCACCCCATTTACGTTGGCATATTTTCACTAAGAATCTGCCACTTCCAATGATGGGTTACCACCTCGGAGTGCGATTTTTGGACATTTTAAACAGTTTACCTACACTTTCTGCTTCCAAGTTCCACTTCACCCTGCGCATGCTAGGTACTCACCTACTCCTCATCATCGAGTATTCAGCTCCTCCTTTACTCGCTATCGTCATTGGCCTTCCACGGAACTTGCCAGTTCAGTCATGAAGCACAGTGGCAGGGAACTAAGCCAGGTATATTGGCAGTATTTGCCGTTTCGAGAGAAAGAAAAAAAAAAAAAAAAAAAAAAGTCGATACAAGTGCCTAACCGGCCGCAACCATACGACACACACTTTCGTTTTTAATAGCAACAAATGCCAATGGGCAGAGAAGCAAATGCATCAAAGGTCCATAAGAGATTGCAGACGATGTTATGTGAAAAGGAGCAGCATGCCCGTCACACATTCATAGAATCAAACTGGAAAGCCAACCAAATCCTCGGCTAACTGTATTGGCAACAAATTCATCGTGATGGCTGTCAAAAAACTGTCATTGTACCGAGCATTGAATCATTTGTCCGCAGAGAGTCCAGCTCGCGCTGTGTCTTCCCATGCCACCAAAAAAGAATGAGAAAGAAAAGCAATGGCTTGATTTGAAATTTGCGCAAATTGTGTGCAAATGTCTTTCCTCCTCCCATAACTCCGTCAGATCTAACTTGATATTTCCCGCCTAGCCACGATAGAAGCAGAAAGGAGAAAACGAAAGAATCTAGTCTTACTAAAAGATGATGGAACTGGCAATAAGTGGCCCTTTACCCAGCCCTCAGAGATAGATATCCCCACCAACGCCGTCAACCCACCTCTGCCACGCTTGTTCATATGCATCCTCCAAGTCCCTGACCCATCTCCGCGTATCAAACAACGCACAAGTCCACTTGCTCTCCCACAGCAATTTCCTCAGCTCGGCGAGTCTTCCGACCGGTTTACCATAGTAACTAGCTCTGTAACCGCCGTGACCACCACCAGCACCACCAGCACCATTATACCCTGGCATACAAAACCCATCCACAACCAACTCGTACGTCAACCCATTCGCAAGCTTGATAGCCCTGTTCTCGTATTCATAGTCATCGCCAGCAATCAGATCCTCAGCCGCCTGTCTTCCCGCCTCACTCTTCGGCAACGCTCCCTTGAGAATCGACGCCGCCATACGCGAACACATCTTGTACTCGTACCGCGGCAGCGTCAGCAGCGGTGTACTCGACCACAGGACGTCGGCGGCCGTCGTATGTGCGTTGCACTCGGGTGTGTCGAGGAAGAGGTCGCACACGCGGGCGCGGGCGATGTGTTGCTGCTTGGGAGCCACGTCGGTGAAGATGATGCGGCTGGCGACTTCCTCACCTGCCCAGAGCTTTGCCGTCCGGCGGAGGTTGTTTTCGCCGAGCTCGGGGAACCGCAGAAGCCACAAGATAGCTTTGGGAACATGTGCTAGTATGCGAAGCCAGGTTCGAAACGTAGTAGGATCGATCTGTTGTACAAGGGCGTTAGTCAGCGGAGCTGCACATGCAAATTCCCTTGCAAAATTGAGGAAACGTACCTTGTAGAGTTGGTTGAAGTTACCGAGGATGATCCTGTCGTCTGGGAGGTTGGGGAACAGCATCTTGCGCATATTCCATCGCCTCCTCTGTTCCTCTTCCCACGTCATCCCTCTCTCGTCCGAACCATCGGCAGACTGTTTGTGATCGCAGCAAAAGAATGTGTCCTTGCAATATATGAGATTCTCCGAGTATACCCAATCGTCGGCCTCGGCATCAGCTTCATCACGGAAGACATCCTCCAGACTTAGGTTGTCACGGTGTGGACGCAATGTTGATGGTGGCACTGACGTCGTATCTGCGAGCAGATAGTCGCACCACTCAGCCCCCAGTGTCCCTGCAAATCCCATAAAGGCCATTTGAATCGGTGCAGGTCGTGCTGCGAAGACCTCGTTGCGAGCTCCTCTGGTATAGCCGTTAAGATTTACCAGGATATGAATTCCATCTGCAACAATTTGCTGTACCAGCCGGTCGGATGACCAGGTGCTCACATCTT